TTAAAAAAAAAAAAAAAGAAAAACCCACCGAGAGCACTAAAAAATGCTATCCATATGAGTTGTTAATTTAGGAACTAAATCTCCAATTATTTAGGACAAAATATATTCAATTCAAATCAATTTAAAATTAATGTGCAATTCCTTCCTTCCAAATCCGTATCTTTTTTTTTTTTTTTTTTTTTTTTTTTTTTTTTTTTTTTGTATCATAAGTTAATTTTTTATGTTTGATGTGAAAGAATATCCAATTATTTAGAAAATTTAAAATTCAAATCAGTTTTATGTCGTAATTTTCACAATAATCTAGCTTTTGAATTCAAATTGACCCTCAAATTAAGCAAAAATATTATCACATATATCTTTTCTTAATTGCACCACATCAATTGTTTATAAAAAAAATCGGATTGCATATAAATCAGGTTAATTGAGGTCAAATTCGATATGACAATTTTATAAAAGTCAAAATTCTCTCATTTTTATTAAAAAAAATTGTTTACCATAAAATAGAAGATTTCAAATCAGATAAAATACTATAACATGTATCTTTACCTAATTGCAATCAAATTATGTTTATTAAAAAAAATCAGATTGTACAGAAATCATGCCCAATTTCAAATTGAAATTAAAAATTAAAAATTACTTATAATTGGCTACTACTTTTTTTAGTTCGTTTTTTTAAAACATAAAACATAGTCAAATAATATCAATTTAAAATTCAAAATGAAATCGAACTGGAATATCCTACTAATACTTTGGCTTTTGTTTAATCCTCTAGAATACAACTTTGAAAATTGAGTGCATACACTTACATAATTATTCACTTATTTAAATTAAGTAATTTACAATTTTAAAATAATACGACTATAGATTGCCAAGAAAGACGTTTTACAATATTTGTTATATTTGGCTATTCAATGCGATAAACTATGTACCAAAAGACCAAACAAATAATGTTATGTACAAAGATGTGTTTAATAATGTATAAATTACATTTTGTTTTATTTTAGTGCATGCGCTTTACGTTTTTCCAATCATCCATTCATCCAAATCTAAATGCTTACCTTAATAAAACTATACCGTGCATCGCACGGGTACCGCACTAATTTGAATAAATATGATGACTCTTTATATAAGTATAGATAAGAATGAATTAGATAAGAAATTTTGAATTGACATTTTTTTTTTGACTAAATCGATGTTATTATGGAATAAGACAAATAAATAAAGCCTTTTTTATTTTAGCAAAGATTTTACGTATTTTTTTTTTTTACATATCGGATGTTGCGAGATTTTTTTTCTTAAATCGATTTTATGAGATATAAGACAAATAAATTAAATAATTAAATAAAATTCTGAATAGAAATAACAATGCATTAATTACGTTGACTTTTCTACCTACTTATATATAATTCCCGAATGCGCTGAGCCTACGTGACTACTTCTGGTGTTTTGGAATCCTACTTGGCGTAGAATCATGCTTCGTAATTAGGTTCGGACAAATAATATTGATATATATATATTAACAATTAATATCTAGGTTCGGACATTCCATAAATATTATTGAGCTAAGTTAGGTATTTTGATATTACTTATACTAATATAACCCTTTAATTCTTTGTAATTTTACATAGTGAGACACTAAGTGACTAATATATCCTTGACTTTTGATTTGTTTCCTTCAATTAACTATTGAATTATGAATGTATTTTAAAAGTTGATAACTTTTGTATTTCTTATCGGTTTTACATATATAATATATCAAATTAATCATCTTTTCATTATCTTCGATTTGACATCCATATTGTATATATAAAATAAATAAATAATATTTATCTTTATAATAATAAAAATAATATTTATTAAATTTTATTAGAAAAATAAAAAAATTTCTCAGTTGATATATTTTTGTTTAATGTAGTTATATGTTGTAAGTTAAAAAATTATTATAATATAACACAAGTAAGTCACACAAATAAAAAGTGTCATACTAAATATACTAGTATATTCACCCGTGCGATGCACGGAACATATTTAATAAAATGTATTAATAAATACATTAATTTATATATATAATAAAAAGTAAATGACAAATAAATAACATTATTATTGAATAGATAGTAAAAGTAAAATATTGTATGGTATTACAAATTGTAGAAATTCTCGATAGACAACATTTTGAGTAGTTTTCTTTTCCCCATTATCGTCCCCACATATTAATATCTTCAATCCATGTGGATTAGTGACTCGAGACACATCAACGTATAATTGACCATGACTAAACACGGGTCTTTTCAAAGTAAAGTCCGACATGGGATAACGACTGCTCTTGACTCATGTTGATTGTCATTGCGTAAGAAAACATAAGAGCGAATTGTCTACGCTGGAACTTGAAGGGTATCATGAGATCAAATGGAGTTAGGGAATGTCTTGGTACTCATACCTTATATCCAGCATTAGATCATGTTAGAATCTTACATTCGGACACATAAGTGGAAAGTTTCATTATCACCAAGCATGTTCCACTACACAATCT